ATATTTATTTAGTAATTTATAATATCCCAACAGAACTATAAACTTTCTTTATTTGTAAAATTGATTACCCTTGTACATAAATTACACCTAACACAAAAATAATCTAAAATATTGTTGTGAAAATATTTCTCTAATTTTAATAAATTTTCGGTTATCAACATAGAATTGTTAAACGGCTTTATTTTTAAAAAAGGCTAACCCTGTTCCTGTAATCATCATTCCAGTTCCTTTAGCATTCCATAATTTCTTCAAGTTCCGTTTCTGAAAAATGTTCGATACATTTATGTTCCATGTCCTTGGATTTAAGAAATTAAATTAACTATGCCAAATTAAAAGAGATTTAAAAAAATAAAATTGTCAATAGTTTTTTTTTCTTCAAAGTAGTCAATTTGGGAATGCTGATTTTTTAATAAAAGGGAAGAAATATAATATACATATAATAAAAATGTGTCATATAAGTTAATTATTCGTGTAGTTTTTATACTTTTTCTTTTCTTTTCTTCTTTTCTTTTCTTTTCTTTTCTTTTCTTTTCTTTTCTTTTCTTTTCTTTTCTTTTCTTTTCTTTTCTTTTCTTTTCTTTTCTTTTCTTTTCTTTTCTTTTCTTTTCTTTTCTTTTCTTTTCTTTTCTTTTCTTTTCTTTTCTTTTCTTTTCTTTTCTTTTCTTTTCTTTTCTTTTCTTTTCTTTTCTTTTCTTTTCTTTTCTTTTCTTTTCTTTTCTTTTCTTTTTTTTCTGTTCTTTTAACTAATTTAATCTAATCTATTTTTATAAGTGAATTGTTTTTGGAATAGGATCATAAGAGGTGTTGGCAAATAGCCATTAAGCATTAATCATTATTTATTTTATGTTACTTGATAAAAAAAAATTATATAATTTTAATTTTAAAAAAATTTAATTTTTAGCTCAATAGCGGATGTCATATTTTTTTGTAATTGCAGTATAAGCCAGATTTTATGTTTTCTCAAACTACTCATTTTAATAAATTGACCAAAAAAAAGATTAATAATATTTTATTTGTTGATTCGTAAAATCTAAATGAAGTTAATATAAAACAAAATAATAAAATATGATGTCAATGTTTAATGATTCCATAATAGCATCCACAGACTCAGATAAATCAATGGAATCCGCCAAGCAGCTAATTAATTATCACTATTACAGAGACAAAATAAGCCTTGATAGAGTAAAACTGGACAACGCTATTGATATCTCCTCAAACGGATATACAGATGACGACGAATACAATGCTACTTATATCTTACCTCCCAATACACCTGTATCTCCTCTCAACAGGAATTTCAATGATTCCATTTCAAATAAACTCGGGCTTATGTTTACTTCCGAAAACCTTAGAAAGACATTGGAAGATGCATTTATTTCAAGACAATTATCTTTACACCCCCCTAATTACATTCAAAAATTAAAATTGGAATGCGAAACTTCATCAAACCCATCCTATCATAACGTTTCTCCCCACGGTCTATCTATTATTAAAATTTGTGGAAAAAACGATTTTAAACCTATCACTATCCCCCAAAAGATTAAATTAATTGTCGATTCAAATCCCCAAGCGATGGCCTATTATTATAAAGATGATCCGGAAGAAACGCGGTGGAAGAGCGTAACTTATATTCAATATTTACAAGATATAAGACGCGTAGCTAAAGCGTTTATATCGTTAGGCTTGGAGAAGTTTCACGGAGTAGCAATAATAGGATTCAATGCTCCAGAATGGATTACATCTAATTTTGCAGCCATATTTGCCGGGGGTTTATCAGCTGGAGTATATACCACGAACAGCGCCGAAGCCAGCTTGCAGATAATGATGGACTGCAAAGCAAATATTTGTGTGGTGGAAGACTGGAATCAAATGAATAAAATTCTAAGCATAGCCGATAAATTACCTGATTTAAAGGCTATCATTCAATATCGAGAAAATTCTTTCCCATCTAAATCAAAACTCGGCGATATTAAGCATTTAAAAATATTAAAATGGTCCGATCTCGACGAATATTCTGAAATGACATCCGAAGATACGTTAAACGAAAAGATCGAATCTCTTAAACCTAATAATTGCAGCACTTTGATATACACCTCAGGTACCACCGGAATATCTAAGGGTGTCATGATTAGCCATGATAATTTAATATGGACCTCAACGAACCTATCAAACTACATAAAAGCCGAAATATATTCTGAAAGAATAATTAGTTATCTACCCTTAAGCCACATAGCTGCCCAAATAACTGATATGTATGTTACCATCGAATCAGCATCGAGTATTTGGTTTGCTCAACCCGATGCTATGAAGGGCAGTTTGTTAAAAACTTTGATTGAAGTCAAACCCACCATATTCATGGGGGTACCACGACTATGGGAAAAGTTTGCCGATAAGCTTATTAGTATGAATAAATCACTTTACGGACTTAAAAAATACTTTTTCAACTGGGTTAGAGATGTAGGGAGACGCGGAAGCAAGGCATTAATGAAAGGCGATCCCGTTCCTTGGGAATATTATTTATTTAACCGCTTTGTATTTTCTCGCTTTAAGACAATCCTCGGCTTCAACTCTTGTCGGTATTTTATCAGTATGGGAGCCCCGTGTCCCTCTATTACTTTAGACTTTTTCGGATCGTTAGGTATAAACATCCAGGAAGCTTATGGGACTTCGGAATGTACTGGGCCAGCTAGCATTAATTATCCTAATTTAGGCTTATTTTGGACTGGAAGTTGCGGCCTAGTTTTCCCAGGAACTAAGGTTAAAATATTGAAGCGGGAGCCGCTGAAAGAGAATATAAGAGGGCAAGACATTAAATACGAAAACAATTTCGGAAAAGAAAATTGTCATGATGAGTCTAAAATTCATGCTGTCAATAGTGATATAAAAAAGATAAGTTCATCTCAAGATGAGGATATGGAAGGAGAGATATTGATAAAAGGAAGACACGTTTTTATGGGTTACCTTAACATGCCTCAACAAACTATAGAAACGATTGATTCGAATGGTTGGCTATATACTGGCGACATTGGAAAGCTAATCAAAACATCAACTGGAGGATCTTTCCTCTTTATAACGGGAAGATTGAAAGAATTGATTATAACTGCCGGTGGGGAAAATATCGCTCCTATACCCATCGAAAACGCTATCAAAGAACAGTTATGTGAAATAGTTAGTAATGTCATGGTAATCGGTGACTACAGAAAATATTTATCAGTGTTATTAACATTCAAGACCAAAATCGACATAAATACTGACTTATGCTCACAGACGCTGCAACCTTCAGTTCAAACATTTATACTCGATTTATTATATCAAGGTTCTTCTACAATCACAAAATCTCTTATGAAACCTTTTTCGCTCATGGACTTAATTGAAAACATGCCATTACCACTAAAAAACTATATTAACGACAGAATGGACGTTGCTAACACAAAAGCTGTTAGTAGAGCCGCTTTCATAAGAAAATGGGTCGTGTTGGAAAATGATTTTACTATACCTGGAGGTGAATTAGGACCTACCATGAAACTTAGACGTCCTTATATATTAAAAAAATATGCTCAGGTAATTGAATCTTTATACACTGAGAGTAAGGAAACAAATAAAGATGGATTATCAGAAAATTAAAACTTTATGTTGTTTATAGAAAATTTTTTTCCCTCATATTATTAATTTTATTTTTGCTCATCATACTTCACGAACAGTCTTAAAATTGATTTATAACAAAATCAGATCAAACTTCCTATATTTTATCTCTTAAAATCATAATTCTCCTTTTTAACTAAGATTTTGCATATCTTTCTCATCGCCGAATATATCGAATCAATCTAATTGTTATTTTATTTTATTTTATTTTTAAATTCAATTTTATATTTAATAAGAAAAGCTATCATTTAAAATATGTTCATATTATCCATATTTATATTTATAGTATATATATACTGCAATTTATTTTAAATAAAATTTGATCCAAAATTATTATTTTTTTGTCATAGAAAATTAATTGGGGAGATGAGGGCTAATCGGCGCAAGGGACTTGTATAGTTAAGCGGATTTTTTTTAAAAAGCTGACATGTTAAGAAATTTAAATTAAGTATTAGCATTGTATAAATATGTATATTTGAGGCGAAAAATATTTTATGCACCTCAGCTATTCAAATTTATTTATGATAAAAAAATGTCTTTAGGTAAAAATTGAAATGTTTGCAACCATATTATTAAGTGGCATTAAAATATGAAGAGCTTAAAAATAATAAAATTTGACATTATATGAAATTCAAAACCCGAAAAAATATTTACGGACCTAGCATGCGCACAATATTTTTTTGTAGAGTTGTGTCCAAAATCTTGTTTAAAAAGAAGTTCATTTTGAAATTTTTAAAATTTTCTTAGAAATACAATTTCGGACATGTTTTTATTATTCCCGTTCCTTTGGTATTCCATAATTTCTTCAAGTTCCGTTTCTGGAAAATGTTCGATACATATATGTTCCATGTCCCTGGATTTAAGAAATTAAATTAACTATGACAAATTAAAAGAGATTTAAAAAAAAATAAATTGCCAATAGTTTTTTTTTCTTCAAAGTAGTCGATTTGGGAATGTTAATTTTTTTTAAATAAAAGGAAGGAAATATAATATACATGTTACATATAAATAAATGTGTCATATAATTTTATTATTTGTATAGTAACTTAAGTTGTTAACTTTTATTTATTTATTTTATTTTTATTTTCTCTTGCCTTATATAATCTAGTCTCTTTCTATAAGTGGATTTTTTTTTTGGAATAGGATCATTAGAGGTGTTGGCAAAATGCATTAATAAGCATTAATTATTATATATTATGTTACTTGATAAAAAAAAAATTAATATAACTTTAAATTTATAAAAAATTTATATTTTTGGCTTAATAGCGCATGTCATATTTTTTTGTAATATAAGCCGGATTTTATGTTTTCTCAAACAACCATTTTAATAAATTGACCAAAAAAAAAAATTAAAATTTTTTTATTTGATTCGTGTTATCTAAATGATGGTAATATAAAATAAAATAATAAAATATGATGTCAATGTTTAATGATTCCATAATAGCATCCACAGACTCAGATAAATCCATGGAATCAGCCAAGCAGTTAAATAATTATCACTATTACAAAGACAAAATAAGCCCGGTTAGAGTAAAACTGGGCAATGCTATTGATGTCTCCTCAAACGGATATACAGATGACGACGAATACAATGCTACTTATATCTTACCTTCCAATACACCTGTATCTCCTCTCAACAGGAATTTCAATGATTTCATTTCAAATAAACTCGGGCTTATGTTTACTTCAGAAAACTTTAGAAAGACATTGGAAGATGCATTTATTTCAAGACAATTATCTTTACACCCCCCTAATTACATCCAAAAATTAAAATTGGAAGGCGAAACTTCATCAAACCCATCCTATCATAACGTTTCTCCCCACGGTCTATCTATTATTAAAATTTGTGGAAAAAACGATTTAAAACCTATCACTATCCCCCAAAAGATTAAATTAATTGTCGATTCAAATCCCCAAGCGATGGCCTATTATTATAAAGATGATCCGGAAGAAACACGGTGGAAGAGCGTAACTTATATTCAATATTTACAAGATATAAGACGCGTAGCTAAGGCGTTTATATCGTTAGGCTTGGAGAAGTTTCACGGAGTAGCAATAATAGGATTCAATGCTCCAGAATGGATTACATCTAATTTTGCAGCCATATTTGCCGGAGGTTTATCAGCCGGAGTATATACCACGAACAGCGCTGAAGCCAGCTTGCAGATAATGATGGACTGCAAAGCAAATATTTGTGTGGTGGAAGACTGGAATCAAATGAATAAAATTCTAAGCATAGCCGATAAATTACCTGATTTAAAGGCTATCATTCAATATCGAGAAAATATTTCCCCATCCAAATCAAAATTCGGCGATATTAAGCACTTAAAAATATTAAAATGGTCCGATCTCGAGGAATATTCTGAAATGACATCCGAGGATACGTTAAACGAAAAGATCGAATCTCTTAAACCTAATAATTGCAGCACTTTGATATACACCTCAGGTACCACCGGAATATCTAAGGGTGTCATGATCAGCCACGATAACTTGATATGGATTTCCACGAATTTTTCCAAATACATAAAAGCCGTAAAACAGTCAGAAAGAATAGTTAGTTATCTTCCCCTTAGTCATATGGCTGCTCAAATATTCGATATATACACTGTCATGGAATCAGCATCCAGTACATGGTTTGCTAAGCCAGACGCTTTGAATGGCTGTTTGCTAAAGACCTTAAATGAAGTCAAACCTACTATGTTTATAGGTGTACCTCGACAATGGGAAAAATTTGCCGATAAGCTTATTAGTACGAATAAATCAATTTATGGACTTAAAAAATACTTCTTTGAATGGGTGAAAAATGTAGGAAGACGCGGTAGCAAGGCATTATTAAAAGGCGACACCGTTCCTTGGGGATATTATTTTGTTAATCGCTTTGTATTTCCCCGTTATAAGGCAGTCTTAGGCTTCAACTCATGCCGGTATTTTATAAGTATGGGAGCTCCATGCTCTTCGGCTACTTTAGACTTTTTCGGATCGTTTGGCATAAATATCCAAGAGATTTATGGATGTTCGGAATGTACGGGACCGGCTAGCGTTAATTATCCCAATTTAGGGTTATCTTGGACAGGAAGTTGCGGCCTAGTTATTCCAGGAACTAAGGTCAAAATATTAAAAAGGGAGCCTATGAAAGAGAATATAAGAGGCCAAGACATAACAATTAAAAATAATTTCGGAAAAGAAAATAGTTATGACGAGTCACTTGTTCATATTGCCAATAGTGAAATAAAATTTCTAAGTTCATCTCAAGATGAGGATATGGAAGGGGAGATAATGATAAAAGGAAGACATGTTTTTATGGGTTACCTTAACATGCCTCAACAAACTATAGAAACGATTGATTCAAATGGTTGGTTATATACTGGAGACATTGGAAAGCTAATTAAAACGTCAACTGGGGGTCCTTTCCTCTTTGTAACGGGAAGATTGAAAGAATTGATTGTAACTGCCGGTGGGGAAAATATAGCTCCTATACCCATTGAAAACGCTATCAGAGAGCAGTTATGTGAAATTGTTAGTAACGCCATGGTGATCGGTGACTACAGAAAATTTTTGTCAGTGATATTAACATTCAAGACTAAAATCGACATAAATACTGGCTTATGCACACAGACGCTGCAACCTTCAGTTCAAACATTTATACTCGATTTATTAAATAAAGGTTCTTCTACAACTCTTTCGCTCAAGGATTTGATTGAAAACATGCCATTACCACTAAAAAACTATATTAATGACAGAATAGACGCCGCTAACACAAAAGCCGTTAGTAGAGCCGCTTTCATAAGAAAATGGGTCGTGTTGGAAAATAATTTTACCATGCCTGGCGGTGAATTAGGACCCACAATGAAACTTAGACGTCCTTATATATTAAAAAAATATGCTCGGATAATTGAATCTTTATACAATGAGAGTAAGGAAACAAGTAAAGATGGATTATCCGAAAATTAGGAATTTTTAAGAATCAAAAAGTTATGTTGCTTAATCCTGAAATCAAACATTTATACCTCCAGAGACTCTTTTTTTTAACAAAAAATGACATTTGTTACATATGAAATTTTTCCCCTCATTTCAATAGTTTATGACAATCTTAAAATTAATTTAACAAAATTAGAATAAACTTCAAATATTCTACCTCTTAAAAAAATAATTTCCCTTTTTATCTAAGATTTTGCATATCTATTTCACCATCCCCGAATAAATCAAATCGAATCAAATCTAATTGTTATTTTAATTCAATTTTTTTAAAAATAAAATTTATATTTTATTAAAAAAACATCATTTAAAATATGTTTATTATTTAGTCTATATATTGCAATTTTTATTTTAAATAAAATTAGCTCCAAAAGTAATTTTTTTTATCATAGAAATTAGTAGGGGAGATCAGGCAGGGCTAATCGACGCTAGGGACTTGTATTGCTCAGAGGATTTTATTTAAAACCAGTCATGTCTAGAAATTCAAATTTAATTATGTAATAGCATTGTATAAATACGTGTATTTGGGGGGCAAAATATTCAATACACCTCAAGCTATTTAAAATTTATTTATGATAAGATGTGTTCTTAAGTATAGATCAAAATGTTTTTAACAACATTATTAGGTGGCATTAAAATATGGAGAATCTAAAACTAATAAAATTGACATTATCTGGAATTTAAAACACTTCTTTTCGCATTTCAGAAAGTTTCATAATCATATTTTCATGCTTAAAATATATTAAGGTATTATTATATTAATATTAGGAACTAGGAATTAAGTACTATCATCAGGGCTTGTCGGGTCAATCAAATTATAATTACAAATATGAAATATTTTAATATATATATATATAATAATTTAAAATAAGTATTTATCAGAATGAACAAAAATTTAGGAAGCTGAATTGATTTGTTTTTAACTTTGGGCTTCGAAGAATTTGTTTTTTTTAAAATTAATATTATATATATATATATATATATATCTAAAATGACTTGGAAAATTATAGCAATTATATATAAGGCCCTCGCGTTTCGTGGTTCCTTTAAGGCTGCATTCATAGTAGCGCCTGATCTCCCTTCCATCAAATGTCAATCTCATTGAAAAATAATATATAGATTCAACATTCGTTCCGATTTATATTCGGATTCTAAACTACTATGAATCCAGTCTTAGCCTAGATTTACTAAGGCCCAGCCAGGAATTTGCTAAAAGTGAGGGAAAGCACTATTCAGTGAATTTTGTACTAATAATGAATATTGGAGGACTTTATGCCTACCTATTGGATTTAAAATACTTCTTCTTTTTCTGATAATATTTGAAGATTATAGTCATTATTTTTTAAAATAACTTTTTCTTATTTTTCTTTAGTGAAATATTGTATGCAATTTCTGGGAAGAAGGGAGATGGGGTAGAATGGGTTGAAGAAATTTTGACACTTAAAATAATATTTATGAAATATTGGTATAAGTATCAATAGAATTGACTTCACTTTTGCGATCCCTTATTTATTTAAAATTTAAAAAAACAACTCGAATAAGGAGAAAAATAATCTTTAAAACAAATCTTTATAACATTTGTTTTTATTAAAATTATAACAAATTTACAATGTGTATTTAATATTATTTTATTACATATAATATTTATATTATTTTGATTTGATATGATGTGATATGATATGATAAGAATTTAAAGTTTGTTTAAAAAATAATTAAATTTAAAAAAAAGGTTTTGAATGACTAGATATTAACAAGAAAATTATACTAACCTATCTATAAAAACAAAGACATTTTAAGTAAATTTTTTAGAATGAACACATTGATGTTTAAAAGTTTGATTCATATTAAATAAATGTTCAAGCTGAGAATAAATTATTCCTTAAAATCGCCAATGCTCATTTTCTTTTGTCTATTTTATTTAGAAAGGATAGTATTTCATTATGGATGTGACCACGGGAACGAAATTCGCCTCTTTTTAAATTTAAAATATTGTTTTTCGTTGGTTGTTGTCTGATGACTCAAGGGAGTTTCCATATATGTTTGATTTCCCGAAAATGTCAATACAGGGATAATTGAATGGCATGCCCTTCTCCCAAGATTAGAGTCAAGTCAGGGTTTTGCGTTGGCTGTGTAAACTAAGGATTCTACGAAATGCTGGATATTGTAGGGGTTTGGATTATATAAGTTTATGACAATATTGCTAGGATGATTGATTTTAGAGTATACGGTAGGGAGGATTCTGTTTGCATCCAAGTGAAAGTGTTAAGAAGAGTGCAAGGTTAGGAAGATACGATGTTGCAACGTGTACGGTGGTTTATTGAAATTCTTAATTGTTCTGAAATTTGACTCAGGATGGTTTCAAGCATTGGCACCAACTATCAAAGATGGCAAATTTTATTTCAATTAGATCCCGAGGTTCGATAATAAAAATTCAAGGAAATAACCAAGGGTAAATTACCACTACTACTTCAATAATGATGCAGAAAGAAATGAGTGAAGATATATTGGAATCCTAGTTTTTAAGAGCCTAGATAAATAAATCGAATATCAAAAGATCTGAGAAAAAAGAGCGAATTCCGGAAGAAAATTTAATTTGGATTCCGGACAATGGATAATGCGAGATCAATTTTTAATGTATTAGTATAAATCTAAATGATGAGAATATTGGGGACAGATTGAGACACATGATTCTAATAGGTAGTTTGAGCACATATAGAAATCGATCGTCTTGACTTTTGAGAGTATATGTTTTAGATTTATAAAATGCTGAAGCAAAAGCCCTGAAACATATATATTTCAGTTTTAACCGGTTAGGTCCGAGAGCTCGATCTAGCCCAAATTTTAATAATATTTTTAAGAAATGAAAAATATAAAAGTTGGCGCATATTTAAGGAATAAATCAGTGCCATTCTAACCCTCTCCCTTAAGCCAGATGCGTAGCTAGCTGGGGGGGGGGGGGTGGGAGGGGAGGAGAAATCCCTTCCTTCCCCATAGCAAGAAATTATGGAAAAATGTATAAGGACTTCATGAATTATGATTGCAAAGTTTCCATATCAAATAGGTTATATTCTATTCTAAATAATAGCAAAATGTTAAAATTAATTAAAAATATTTATTTTTTTTATATTAATATTTTATCTCACGAATTATATTTTTTTAAACCTTAAACACTAATGGATATAAGATAATTATATCAACCAAAAAAAATTCTATTTAATTTATCTCTACCTATAACTAACTACTATTAGAAAATTAATAGAGTGTATGAAATGTTCAGATATCCGAATAGATAGAATTTGCTGAATATAATAATTTCTGAGGTTTCTTGTGCCACATGGAAAATAACTGTATAAAAACTGCACGAAAAGATGGATCCTTCGACATAAAGCTTTTACAGAATTCTTTGGATCTTGAGAGCCTATTTTGTATGCCCTTGGAGAAATATCAGAATCACACGAAACAAATATTTTATCTGAAACTAATAACATTATTAAATTTAATATGACTGGCGATTTTTCTCATTTATTACACAACAATTTTATACAATATTTTTCAAAAAAATGGATTTGGCTGAAGTTATGAGAATCGTGAATATTATTTATTATATTACAACTTACAAGACCAAGAGATAATTTCGACCAGGAATTTTTCGAGGCTAATGTGATTGCTTAGCTGAAATCAAAATTATATGAACTTGAGATTCACAGGCCTTGTATTTCACAAAGAAACAAATCGTTCCAAACGTGGACTCTATAAAATAAAGGTTTTTATTTCATTTTTGGTTAAAATTTTGACTCAAATGAATAAACAATTTGTGATTTATCATTTAGCACTATCCAATATACAAATTCTACATCTTATAACTTCCTTTGATTTGAGGATATATCAAATCTTGATATTGAAAAATCAAATATTTAGATAAATTATATTCAGAGGGTATAAATGTAATAAATGTATCGGAAGTCCAATTAATTTCAAAATTTAAATGGTATGGAAAATTCATCCTCCAAGAAATATAGTGGAAGCATTGCATACATTAAAATATATATTATGAGTTTTCCAAATATGTTAAAATTACTGTATATTTTGGCAATGATATCAATTAATACTAGCACAAATGAGAGGGTCATTTCTTAATTACAGAAGAATTAAACTTATATCAAAAGTACGAAATCTTAAAATTAATTGAATAGACATGCTTTACTCATCGAGATCTAATTCCCAACACAGAACAAATTAATAAAAAAAAATTTGCACAATCGCAAAGAAGAATTTTCGTTTATGAATGATATTTTGATTAACTTTTTAAATAATTTTAAAATGTTTAATTATATATTTAATTGTGATTTACATACCGGTTTATACATCTATAATATTTTTTAATCGTATTGTATTTTATATGATGATTAGTTCTAATAAATTTTTAATCCTCTAAAAAAAAAATTATTTTAGTATAAAAAAATTATGCCCTCCCCCCACCCCCCTCCCTTCCTTCCCATAGAAAATTTATGGTTTCACGTAATAAATAAATAAATTATATAGACCACCAAAATGACGTGTTATCAGCTGATTTATATCCGCCACATTTCAAAGTCCTATTTATTAAATGAAACGCCAGTTTAGATAAATATTTGGGGGTTAAATTTTTTTTCAATGAACACCACCTAACAAACCCTATACTCGCCTGAAGTCGCTAAGCCGGCTTTAAATTTCAATAATTCTTAAAGTTTATAAATTGGAACTAGTAGGTATTTTCGGTAGTAATAAGATATCAGTTGCTATCAAATATACCATAGTCAAATACCCCACCACAGTCATACAACTATACTTTTTCATTTGTATCAAATCTTTCCATCTATCCTATTCCTCACTCCTAGATGCCACCTTTATTTTACATTTGATAAATACTCTTGTGATATTCGGTGACGAGGCTTATTTTACTAATTAAGAAGCTAAGAGAAAATTTCTTCCAATACTAATGATCCTAATAAGAGATTCTACATCCACCATAGAATATGATTGAAAATTTTTAGTTCGAAATCTTTAAACATTCACTTTTCGTTGCGATAAAAAGTAAAAAATATTATTCTTAAGGCGACTTCTTTTTTTAAGGACCTCTAATGCTTGTAATTAGATATTTCCTTAAAAATTTAAATTATTATTATAAAAATATATAAAGTGATTAAATATCATATATAATTTGATTATTTGTGTAATACCTTTTACATGTTATGCTATTTGATTAAGCAATGACCTAAATATCAAAACTATAATTAATTAACTTACTTAACTTAACGAAAAATGAGAGGTAAGCTGTTTTTAATATAAAAATAAAATAGTAGCCTAACTTCTTTTTTGGAATTTAAGTAAATTTATCAATTTTTTAAAGTTAGAAAAATATAAAAATTTAATAAATTTTGGCTTAAAGTTTTGTTAAATTTTTGCGATAAAAAGTAGGCAATAATTAATTTATATTTTTCAAATTATAATAAGAAATTGGCAGTTATATTAATCAAAATGGGAAGTATTTAAATTAAAATGAGAGATATAAAAATAATTTGGTAAGAATTATGAATTTCAAAATTTACAAAACTTATAAAAAATTTTAAGGAAAGATTTAGGATACGTTTCACAATTTTATAAAGTTACGAAAGTTTTAAAATTTTGAGGTTTTTTAAATATATTTATATCATAGCTTTATGTAAATATTCTTTTTATAGTTACAATACTTTATATTTGTTTTTATAAATTTATTTAAACAAAATATAAATATTTTCAAGTAAAATTTATATAAAAAGATTATTTGGTTTGCGCTGGCATAAATTTTAATAAATCAATCAAAAAAAAAGGTAAATAACTCTATTTTTTGTAATTTAATGATAAATTGATTTTTGATTGATGATAATATAAATATATATATTTAAAACGTTAACTTGATAAATGAAAGAACAACATTTATTATGTTCATATATAATGGCTCATTGATGATGCCTATAAATTCTTTAGATGAATCTGGGGAATCTATCAAGCAGCGCAATAATTGTCAGTATTCAAACAAAAAAGCTTAGATAGGGAAAACTTAACCCTGCTTTTGATATCTCGATCTTAAACGGATGTCTAAAAAAAGGCTAAATGGAAGTTGCTAATATTTCACTCCATAACTTACCTATTTCTATTGACAAACGTATCCAAAATTCCCACTTGAATAATCTCCCCCCAATTATTTCTACAGAATTATCTAGAAAAACATTTAGTCCAAGGGAACCCGCAGAAAAAAATTCAAACTGTCTTGTTTCCATCCAAAAATTAAAGACAGAATGTGACCCCATATCGAAACCTACTTATCATAACGTTTCTCCCCACGGTCTATCTATCATTGAAATTTGTGGAGAAAACGATCTAATACCCATCACCATCCCCCAAAAGTTTAAATTAATTGCCGATTCAAATCCCCAAGCGATGGCATATTATTACAAAGATGACTGGGAAGAAACACGGTGGAAAAGCGTAACTTATTTTCAATATTTACGAGATATAAGACGCGTGGCTAGGGCATTTATATCGTTAGGCTTGGAGAAGTTTCACGGAGTGGCAATAATAGGATTCAATGCCCCAGAATGGGTTACATCCAATTTTGCTGCCATATTTGCAGGGGGTTTATCAGTCGGAGTTTATACTACGAACAGCGCCGAAGCCAGCTTGCAGATAATGATGGATTGCAAAGCAAATATTTGTGTGGTGGAAGATTGGAATCAAATGATTAAAATTCTAGGCATAGCCGATAAATTACCTGACTTAAAGGCTATCATTCAATATCGAGAAAATTCTTTTCCATCTAAATCAAAACTCGGCGATATCAAGCACTTAAAAATATTAAAATGGTCCCATCTCGACGAATATTCTGAAATGACATCCGAGGATACGTTAAACGAAAGGATCGAATCTCTTAAACCTAATAATTGCAGCACTTTAATATACACTTCAGGTACCACCGGAATATCTAAGGGTGTCATGATTAGCCATGATAATTTAATATGGACCTCAACAAACCTATCAAACTACATAAAAGCCGAAAAATATTCTGAAAGAATAATTAGTTATCTACCCTTAAGCCACATAGCTGCCCAAATAACTGATATGTATGTGACCATCGAATCAGCATCAAGTATTTGGTTTGCTCAACCCGATGCTATGAAGGGCAGTTTGCTAAAAACTTTAATAGAAGTCAAACCTACCATATTCATGGGGGTACCAAGACTATGGGAAAAATTTACCGATAAACTTATGAATAAATCAATATATGGACTTAAAAAATACTTTTTCAACTGGGTTAGAGATGTAGGAAGACGCGGAAGCAAGGCATTAATGAAAGGCGACCCCGTTCCTTGGGGATATCATTTAGTTAACCGCTTTGTATTTTCTCGCTTTAAGACAATACTCGGCTTGAACTCGTGTCGGTATTTTATCAGTATGGGAGCTCCGTGTCCCACGATTACTTTAGATTTTTTCGGATCGTTGGCTATAAATATCCAAGAAGCTTACGGGACTTCGGAATGTACAGGGCCAGCTAGCATTAATTATCCCAATTTAGGCTTATTTTGGACGGGAAGTTGTGGGTTAGTTTTTCCAGGAACTAAGGTTAAAATATTGAAGCGGGAACCTCTGAAAGAGAATATAAGGGGTCAAGACATTACAGTTAAATATGACGTTAAATACGATAATAATTTCGGAAAAGAAAATAGTCACGACGAGTCAAAATTTCATGCTGTCAATGGTGATATAAAAACCATAGGTTCATCTCAAAATGAGGACATGGAAGGAGAGATATTGATAAACGGGAGACACGTTTTTATGGGTTATCTTAACATGCCACAACAAACTACAGAAGCAATTGATTCGAATGGTTGGTTATATACTGGAGACATTGGAAAGCTAATCAAAACAACAACTGGAGGTCCTTTCCTCTTTATAACTGGAAGATTGAAAGAATTGATTATAACTGCAGGTGGGGAAAATATCGCTCCGATACCCATCGAAAACGCTATCAAAGAGCAGTTATGGGAAATAGTCAGTAACGTCATGGTGATCGGTGACTACAGAAAATTTTTGTCAGTCATATTAACATTCAAGACCAAAATGGACATAAATACCGGCTTATGCTCTCAGACCTTGGTACATTCAGTTGAAACATTTATCCTAAATTTAATTAATCAAGGTTCTTCTACGGAATCGCTTGAGAAACCTCTTTCGCTTAAGAATTTGACTGAAAACATGCCACTACCACTAAAAAACTATATTAATGATAGAATGAAAGCCGCTAATGCAAAATCCGTAAGTAGAGCCGCTCTCATTAGAAAATGGGTCGTGTTGGAGAATGATTTTACTATAGCTGGCGGAGAATTGGGACCCACCATGAAACTTAGACGTCCTTATATATTAAAAAAATATGCTCAGATAATTGAATCCTTATACACTGACAGTAAAGAAACAAGTAAAGATGAATTTTCTTAAAAATATGAATTAATAAGACTCTAACATCTAAATCAAATATTTATACAATAGATTTCTTCTTTTTTTTATATAACAAATAATTATCATTATTTGTTAAATAAAAAACTTTCCCATATATTAATAATTTTATTTTAGCCTCAAATATTTTATCTCTTTAAAAATCACCCCCCCCCCCCCCCTTTTAACCCAAGACTTCGCACATCTTTCGCACTTTACCGATTTTATAAATCAATTCTTCTAATTATTTTATAACTTCTTCCTTTCTACCTAAACTCTTTCATATTTTTAAAAAAACTAAAAACTTCATTTCAATATACTCATATGTCTATATCTATTTCTAATAGTATATACACAATATAAAATAATTATTTTTGATTAATTCCAATCATAATGTTTTTGGATATTGTTAAGTAACAAATAAATAATAATATTATTTTGAAAATACTCACTTATTATACACTATTATATTCTTATGAAAATTTATGAATAAAAAATCATTTGTTTGAAAGAAAAATAATATTTGATTTCTATTTTTTCTAACCAAGTAAATTAAGTTTAAGAAATTTTGCCGCAGAACCAGGATTCGATATCTTAAGTAAATTTAATTTGTAAGTTTAAAAAAATAACATTTTTTTCAGAAGCTGTTTGAATATTCAACGTTTTTATAGAACTATTTGGGATGAAGAGATTATTACGGTGAATGGAATTAAATGCATTTACAAATTCAAAAGTTAGCAGATAGTTCCAATGAGAACGATTATACAGGTTACATAAGAGTGTGTGGGGGGGGGGAGTGGTAATGTATCTTTAATTGTGCACTGAGGGAGGAGGAGATTTGATTCAGCTTATAATTATCTTTGGGTATCTTACATATTAATTATGGAAAAGTGTATAGAAATGCTATCAGGGCCAACCCAAAAAGAGTATCAGGTTGATGTCGTTGAGTATTTTCGTGTTGAATATAGAAGACTTTCTCTAGTAGCGATTTGTTCTATTTTAAGACTTCATTTTTATAATTGGGATAGGTACGTTAATATAAAAAATGACGAAGATCCTGAGAGCTGTTTATTTTTGAAGGAATGCAATGTATCATCGATGCAGTAGATAATGTTACAGGTTGCGTTTCTCGTGACTTTACTAAGGTTGCTATTTTTTTTTGAAACTTTTATGTTCGTATATGTATATTTAAGAAAAATATGTCCATTGCGGGTTAAATATTTTCTCCTCAATGAACGCCACCTAATAAACATACTCCCTCGAGCTCTCTAAACTTGCTTTAAATCTTTCAATAATATGTATTTAAAATTTAATAACCTGAAACTAACAGGTAATTTGGGTTGTAAGATACTAGATGCTATCACATTTATCTGTATCAAATCCTTCCACTTATGCTATTCTTCACTTCTAAATGTCACCTTAATAATATATGTGATAAATACTCTTGTAATATTCGGTGGCGAGGCCCATTCTACTATTTAAAAGCTAAAAAATATTATCCAATACTAGTAATCCTAATAAGAGATTCTACACCCACCAGAAAATATTATTGAAAATTTGATGTTCTAAATCATTGTGAGCATTTACTTCTCGTTACGATAGAAAATAAAATACATTATTTTTAAGGCGACATTTTTTATATATATAATTGATATGCTTTTTTTATATGTCATATTTTACCTTATTTTTATAATATAATCTGAAAAATTTTTTTTTTATCGACCTCTAATGCTTGTAATTAGATATTTCCTTAGAAATTAAAATATTATTATAAAATAAATAAAATTAAAAGGAGTAAATATTATATATAATTTGATTATTTGTGTATCGTCGTGAGTAACTTACATATCTTTTATAAGTTATAAGATTTGATTATGTTTTAATATTATTTTTATATACTTTAATATTTGTATTTTGTAAACTTGTAAAAAAAATTAAAATATTTTTCAAGTAAAATTTTATAAAAAAAAATTATCTGGTTTGCGCTGGCACAATTTTAATAAATCAAACAAAAAAAGATAAATAACATATTTAATAGTTTAATGTTAAATTGATTCCTGCTTGAAGAGTATATAAATAAATATGTTTACCACCTCAGTTTAGATAAATGAAAGTGTATAATTGCGAAACAATATTTATTACAATACGATGCCCATATATAATCGCTCATTGATAGTACCTAAAGCCTGTTTGAATATAATGACTGATTTTAAAGCAAATATTTATGTGGTAGAAGATTTGAATCAAATGGGCGTTAGCTATAGTAGATAAATTACAGGACCTAAAGGCTATCATTCTATATCGAGAAAATTCTTTTCCATCAGAAGAAAAACTTGGCAATATGAAATACTTAAAAATATTAAATGATCTGATCTCGACAAATATTCTGAAATGACATCCAAGGATATGTTAACGAAAAGATGGAATCTCTTAAACCCAATAATTGCAGCACTTTGATATACATCTCAGATACTACCGGAATTTCTAAGGGTGTCATGATCAGCCACGACAATTTGATATGGATTTCCATAACTTTTTTAAAATACATAAATGCCCAAAAACATTAAGAAAAAATAGTGTTACCTTCCTTTAAATATCGCTGCCCAAATTATCAATAAACTATTATTGAATTGGCATTCAGTATTTGGTTTGCTAAGACAGATGCCATGAAAAGCAGTTTGCTAAAGACCTTAAATAAAGTCAAGCCCACTATATTCATTGGTGTACCTCGACAATGGGAAAAATTTGCCGATAAAGTTGTTAGAAAGAATAAATCAATTTAAGGTATTAAAATATACTTTTTTTGAATGGGCCAAAATTATAGGAAGACGCAGAAGCAAGGCGTCCCCTTCCTGGGGCCATTATCTCACCAATTGCTTAGTATTTTTCCTTATCAAGACAACCCTAGGGTTTAGCTCCTGTCGCTATTTTATCAGCATGGGAGCCCCTTGTTCCTCTACCCTACCTCTTTAAATATTACCGAATCATTTGCTATAAAGATTCAAGAAGTTTGTGGAGTTTCAGAGTGTACGGGGCCAGCTAGCGTTAAATATTCTTACTTGAGCTTATCTTAGATAGGAAGCTGAGGACCAGTTCTTCCAGAGCCCATGAAAGAAGATTCAATGGATAAAGATGTTACAAATAAAGAAAATGGCTGTAACGTGGCATTTTCACATGCTACAAATTGTGTTGTAAAAAAGGTAGTTCAGCTGAAGCTGAAGACGTGTAAGGAGAGGTGCTATTAAAGGAAGACATGTTTTTATGGGCTATCTTAACATGCCCCAGCAAACTCGTGAAACCATTGATTCGAATGGCTGGTTATATACTGGCAACATTGGAAAACTAATTAAAACTTCAACTTGGAGGTCCTTTTTTGTTTATAACGAGAAGATTGAAAGAATTGATAATAACTGGAAATTTTGTGAATAGCGATATTGTGATTATTTAAAATAAAACAAAATATATCTTACAAATTCTTACTATAGCAAACTTCCTTGCCTACCATTATCTTTCACGCTACCAAAATACATTTTAATACCATGTAAGATATATAGATATTTTATATTTATATATATCATAAATTAAAAATTTATTGTAATTAAAAAGTAAAATAAGGTATATATATTTATTAAATTTCCACCTCAACTGCCTAGTTGTATAGGATATCTGAGAGACATTGACGTAATTTTTCATAAAATTACCAAGATCAACGAGATCTACATCTACTTTGGTAGGAAAATAAATATGGATACTATGCTCCAAGATAATTTGTTTTTAATGTTGATGGTAAATGGGTTGTCATCAACGCATAAAAAATAAAAAATATTTATTAATTCTATTTAGTAAATGACATCAAATATATTTACTAAATAATATAATTAATTAAATATGGATATTAAATCTACAGTCAATGAAACCATCAATTTTAATTGCTACATCCAAACAAAACCCAAAATTTCCAGCTTACTCAATTTAAGGCTGCCGTTCAGAACAATGGCTGAAAATACTATAATCAAGAGCTGGCCTTTAAGCGGAATAATGATTGCAAATTTAATGGTTAAGGTAGAGAAATTAAGAAGGCCAGGATATCCATCAATAATAAAGATATAAGGCAAAAAATTTAGGAAATAAACAAATCAGAGAATTTGTATATCAAATGAGTAAATGTAATTACTAATCAGAAATCTATGACGCCTCATCCCAACCCAATATTTATGGCCTGAATAATATACATATTAATTCCGTAATCTATTTCAACACTCATAAAACAGAAACAGAGTTATAGGCAAAAATAAAAAAATATTACATATACTAAACTTCAAATTTAAAAAATCAGTTTGAAGCACTAACTCTGAAATTTACTAGTGCCAAATACTTAGTATAACGATAATTCTAGTCACTATATAAATAAGAAGAAAGATAATTTTCCTTATTAGCAATTAATTATAAAATTTGACGCAGATTCTCTTCTCCTTTCTCTCGTGGTCTGAATTTTGTGCATTTGGAGGGAAAATAAGCCCCTGCATAGGTCATAGTTTCTCTGACCAATATATTTTTAATATAATCTCTTAGTGTTGTTAAACCGATTTTTAAAAACGGCTAACTTAATATTTCATCCAGAAAAATATTGCACATGACTGAAGATTTTGCTCATAGAAGGAACAAAGGTCTAGACATATATTATCGAAATCTCTAGGCTTAGGTAATTTTTTTCTGGGTAAAATATTGAGTTAGCCGTTTTAAAAAAACCTAACAAGACTATAATCTCTACTCAATCATTTAATCCCCACTTGCTTTAAAACCTCTTGTTATTTTATTTTATTTTTGCATTTTTATGTTAAATTATTTTAAAAAAGATCTCTGTTAATTCTAAGAAGATAATAAAAATTAAAATATATCCCTCTCCTGCATTTAAAAGATAAATAGTTTATTTTTAATAAATAAAAAAATTTTATAAACTTGGAATTGAGCCGTTTATGTTTTCCTTAATAAGAAACGTAATA